CACTTACAAATGTTCGGCTCTATTTTTATATAAATTGTTCTATAATCCTCCGCTCAAAGGATTAAAAGATTATTGTCGTTCTATCTGAACAATGACCAGAAATCGGTTTACAACGCTGAAGAATTTTGCAAAAGCAGTACTTTTCTAAAATATTTCAGTGAATAATACACGACAGGTTCTACGATATCTAATTTATAATCAGAACTAACCTTTTTTCAGAGGAAATCACACATTGTTGTATTAATAATTCATGAACCAAATGAATCATTTTATAAACCGAAGGGCTTTTTATCGACTTTTACCTTTGTATTAAAGCGATAGAACTGTTTAATAGACGATTGGATAAAAAGCGAAGGCCCGGGCCAATGCTGATCCAATTTTAACCTTAAAATTCTTTCAAGTGGTTCTCATCAGCCATCATATTTATGCAAAGTATGATGTTAGAAGACTTTGATCATAACCATATAGCAAACAAATCCTTTCTGGCAGTTTCCAGAAATCCTAGGACGACTAAACTGTCGATGTTGTTCCATTGATGCACACAAGAAAAACATGAAGGAGATCGCCTTGCCTTATCCTGCTTATAAACCTGACGTCAGTGTGCAATCAATCCCTTATGTGACTATAAAAATGCACGAGAAATTGCACGAAAAATACTTTAAATGACACCGATGCATTAGAATTACGGGCATCGCTTAACCTCCCAATAACCAACGAATACAGTCTTTTCAATTCGAAGTCCTTAGAATCATAATCAACGCTCTCCCTACTATGTCTCCAACACTACCCTGCACGACGACCTCAAAATACCCTTTGTAAATAAATTATTACCCACCAAATTTTATAAATTCTCCACACACCCCAACCCATGGACGTCAACATAGCTCATCCCTATAAACCTGTCATACAGATAAAGCGGAGATGGCCCCGGGACCTCCTCGCCATGGACTAGCCCTTGTCTAAAGTGGAAAGAACAACATTGGTTTTAATTCCCCTCATGACAATTTCTATTGTAAAAAATTACAAAGTATTATTTTGTACAGATGGTAATAAATAGTTTATTGGGAAAAAAATGCCACCTAGAAAACACAACTGGTGAAGCCCCCAAAGCCAAATGCTGGCTGAGGGAAAACCTGGTATAAAACACTTGCTTTAAAGTTCAAGCACAAGGCCTTTAGTGCTCAAGTAATGTTTTTTTCAGATTTTCTGAATAAACCTAACACCTGTCTGGTTGGCAATTTGATCTTTCATGATCACCCTGGTCCGCTTCGTATCGCTATATTCTGAGTGAGGAAACTTAACAACACAAACGTACGTAAAAGGAAATTCAACTTCGGATAAAACCAACCTAGAGAATTATATTTACGTATAAAAATAAACTTGAGTTTCGCAGCAAAATTCCAAGGCGACGTTAAAGTTTTTGGGGTAGTGTGCTGATAAAGTCATCTTTCCTGGAACCTTATGAAATCTTTGATCGATTCTACAAAGTTATTTATTAATTATTAACTGACATTCTTCAGCTCTACCTCGTCTTAGACATTCGTGCGTTCAACATAAAATTTCTCTTGTCGAAAATTCAGGTGGTGTAGCTTCAAGAAGGATAAGACAAAATGCCTTTGAACTCTTGTGAAACAGAGAAGCCTGGATTTATTTAAATTCTTTTAGTTAATTCTGTCAACTATTTTGAAATTGCAATAAATAGTAGCCAGGTGAATCCGGAGATAAAGCGTCATCCTCATGGTCACATTCCCAAATATGCAAATGCTGTGACTACTGACGTGTAGCCTTCGCTTCTGTTTTTGGGCTATATTGCCTTCTTTTGCCAGATTTGTATCGATTTTTGAGTCTTGTGCGTGCCTCGCATTGCAATAGCACATCCTATGTGATTCTCGTCGGTTGATTAATCGCGTCGTGGAGTGAAGGAACCCATTTTTTCCACTATCCCAGTAGTCATCTCGGCCTTAAATCTGCCGTTAAAACTGTTATTAATTAAGAAACCCGGCGTCAGATCGTAGATAAGTACCCATCTATTTAGGAGGGTCTTGAATGTGAAATGACCCCGATCTCGTAGGGTTCGACCCGTACGGCGTTTAGCCAGGTGGTTGGTTATAAGGGCTATTGCCATTTTGCAAGTACACCATTTACGTTTTTAATTGATCACATTGTTTTTACCTTTGATGCGACATTGTGACATCGTAACGGCAGCCAAGAGCCTTAAGAACATCATCACTTTTCCTTCATAGACTAAAGCAAACATATAACTCATTGCTGTTTGAAAGACTAAAAAGCTTAGAGTTTGAGGAAGATATTCAGGAAGTTGAGAAAAACCAGACGGTAAAAGTTAAGAGAAAGAAACGATCTGATTCCAGAAAGCACAGCCTAACTCACTTCAGATAAAATGATGAAACAGTTGGGAAAAAACTTGTAAGAAGCGCGTAGAAAAAGGAATAAGCAAAGGAAGCATTGATAAACAGTAAATATGACATAGCACACATTGCAAGCTGGAGTGTTTTAACAGTGTAAAACATGCTGGTGCAGTACGCTTAACCGGACAATTTATTTATACAACTTCAATATTTAGTGAGCTTAGATGTCAAACATATAGTCTCAAAGAGGATAATAAACTCAGAAAAAGAATATCGAAAATTATGAAATTGCTACTTCTCTTCTTTATTCGTTGGTACATTCATCATTCGGAAAAAGAAATGATGAAATATTGAAATACAGCACACAAGAAATATAAGTCTTAGTTCAGTAAACAATCCACAAAAGAAAAGAAAAAAGAAAGTGTAGAAGAACAAACTCTTAAAAATAAAAGGTTAGCATTGTAAAAAACATCAAACTAAGAACAAATAAAAATGTATATGTCGTTCATTGTGAAAAGCAGAGAGGAGAGAAAGATTGATATCGTTTTATTTAACCACGCAGAATTAGGTCTCTTGGGCTTTTCTTACATCCAACGTGGACAATAATTTACAATATGAAAGAAAAAAAACTTTAAATTTTCTGTTTTACATTAAGTATGGTAGATATCCATTTACATTTACTTGTTTTTAAAATTTTTACATTTATTAGTTTTACTTTTAGGAATTGCAATATTTTGTTTAACTTTTTGAGCGTTGTATCTGTTGTATCTAACAGATCCATTAAAATTAATTCTCAATTAAATTAAACAAAGATTTTACAAACATATAGAAAAATTAAATTCTATAAACTATTCCTTTATTCAAACGCAAGTTTAAAAAGTTCAATATAATCTATTAATCATGTTAGGAGTACATACATGAGAGATATTCTTTTAGAGCTTTTTTTATACGAATTTTGAGATTCACATATTTTTACATAATTGGGAAGTTTGTTATACAGTTGAATAATTCTTGGAATAAATGAATTTTGGTATGATTACGTTCTTCATAATGGATTTCTATACATTTTATTTAGACGTGTAGTTTTTGATTGCATGGGAGTGAGAGAGAGAGAGGGGGATGGAGAGGGAGAGACACGGTTATCTCATTCGAAGGATTGGATTTTCTTTTGAATCCGCTATTTAGGCGATAAAACATGTAATCCAGGTCTTCACTTTTCGAAACAAATTTTTAACTAAACCCGTCAAAGCAGGGAGCTAAGCCGATGCCAGACATCCACTCGAAAGCTCCCTCACTCCATAAAAATCTAACAAAGGTCTATAGCCAACTCCTCTTCGTTTTAGCAACCAACAACGCATTCAAAAACCAACTGAGCAACTGACTAGTCAATCGTAGTCGTAATCGAGTCAACTAATGCCCAACAACTAGATTTTTGTAGCATGTATTGCAAATATCTACGTGGGGGTTTCCTTCCCAGTGACAGTTGCTACCCTCAGGCTTAACTATTTTGCATTTCTTGATCTTTTGCTGGGATTCTCGAGCGTCCAAGAAGGCATGAAATATGTATGGCAAATGGTCACCAAAGAAGCAAATAAAAAAAAATAAGAATGATAGGATAACATATTTAATGATAGGATAACATAAAACCAACAGTAGAAAAACAAGAGGCCTTCATCAAGAATCAATATTTTTTTCTGCACAGCTGCCCGATGTCCAAAAAAGGTCATCCGAATTTAGCATATTATTTATTCATATTACAATATGTAATAAAGGGGGGGGGGCGTCGGTGGCCGCAACGGTTTAGGCGTTCACACGGCGCTCATCACTGTAAGGTAAAGGTCCCGGGTTCGAATCCAGCGGCCCTGCATTCGAACCCGACATACTTATAAATGGGCTTTTTTTTCAAAAACATCGGCACTCTGAGGTTTAGATGACCTCCGCTGTTGCGAACCCTCGTTAAAAAAAATGTAAAAAGGCTAACAGATTGAAAGGACTACATAAAAAATGATTGTGGAATTATAATATTCTGAAAGACTAAAAAATTAAGTGTTTGTTGAGGACAAAATTGATTTAGCGATTTAGCCAACTTAATTGTTGTTTACAGTGATCATGCACTGCACCGATAAAAGCAGGAAGTTGAAACAAAAGTATTGACCACTACCCAGTGTCGAATAGATATAGAACATTGTTGGACAGTTTTGCCTAATGTTTGTAAATAAATCCTGGAATTAAACTTCAGAAAAATACATATAAAATTTAAGACCCTTTGGCTTGATTTTTAATTCAATCTGAAGTCTCGAGTCCCGGATGAGATGAACTTGAAAGTGAAAGGAACGAGATGTTAAAACGAGCCCGCACTCTACTTCAAAAAGTTTGTTTAAATGTTTTTTAAAAATATTATTTTGAAAAATGGAAGGTTCTTTTATACGGTTTTAATTTCAAAGAATTTTAGTTTGTGGTTTGTTTTTTAAGTTTTTACTCTAGGGTAGAAAGGAGATCCGACTGATTCTGCGATAAAAGAAATTTAGACGAATTTTGACTTTATAAATATTAATAATAAATGGGAGTTGTCGTTACTGAAGAAAATAATAATTAATTTGAGTCTTTAAGTTGTCTTTTTCTCGTTTCAAGCAGCACTGGACGAATTCGAAGGTAAAAACAACATGAAAACACATAAAAGCACATCGTATGATAAAAAGGGGCAAAATTCAAATTCACGCCCCATGAATGACTTTTTTTCACATTTTTTCATGATTAAATTATCCTTTTGGATTTTATCTTTTTCCTATTTCTTTTTCTATTTTATTTACAGACGTACACTCAGTTGTGCATATTCCCAGAAACTATAATTACTGTAAGTTCTTTTTCTGTGTTATGAACGTTGTTTTCTTTACTTTGTTGAGTTTTACAAACACAATTAATAGTATTTCCGCACGTTTTTTGTTCTTTTGATGTTGGTTTTACGACTAATCCGACAACTTTTTGTTTTAATTACATGTATACGTGTGTTGACAAATTCTACACCTTAGTTTTTCCTGTGTTCATTTTCTTTTTAACAACTTTTTTATTTATTTTAAAAATGTTTTTATATGTTTGTCCTTTTTAAATAATTACTGTGCTTGTAGTTTTGGTCGTTTCCTGTCTTTCTGGTCTGCTTATCCTTGCTGTTTTATTAAGTCAGATCTGCTTTGGTCTGTCAGCACATTACAAAGAGACACAGCTGATAGAGAAACACACAGACCAACCACCGAAAAAGGCGAAAGATCAAAACAACGAGGCTAAGGCGGCCCAAACCGACCAAACTACAAGTTTATTGAAAATTTCAGTATTTTTCCTGTAGTGTATTATTTAAATGTTATCGACTGTGTATCGTCATAGACGGACACGTACGCAATTGTACTTATAGCATGATTATCAATCCTAGCATGTTTTACTAAATTATACCTAGAACAAATTGATTGACTGATTGATTTTTCAACAGGCAAACAGGCACGTCAACGACTTGTTCACCGACCTGCAGGACGGCCTAAACCTCATTTCTCTTCTAGAGGTTCTCTCCGGGGAGCATTTGGTAAGAGAAAAAACCCTAATTGCAAACTAATGGTTTACATTGCGTAAGTAATTACCGCCTAAATGCCCATTTATAAAAAATCTAATCTCGCTTATATTTAGCGTTGTAAAATACCTTTTTGCTTAAATCACCTCTTATCATTAAAAAAATTAATTTCTCAAAAAAAAAAAATTCCTGGGTTGAACTGAACAATTCAAAGCACTTGACAGTCCTGCCCCAAATTTTTTTAAAACTAGTTCTCTCCATTTCTGTGTCCTATCGCTAGCTTCACCATATCTCAGTGCTTCGTCATTTAAGGATAAAATAACACAGATACAAAGAAACAGGATAAAAAACATGATAAGGTTAGCATTCACACTACCCCCAGAGTACTCATATTCGACGGGGTAATATGGGATATCCTCTCCATTCGCGCTAATACATTACATTCACACACTAGATTCGTTTACACTACTCCAGAGAACTCGATATTCCTCAGGGTAGTTGGGGATGAGCCCCTTCATTCATACCAACAAATGACAATTACACATTATCGTTCATTCACCATACGCCAGAGTCCTTGATTTTCCGGGGTAATTGTGGATAAGCCTCACATTAAACTAGCAAATTTCTTTTCTCGTTTCTCCAGCCAAGTTATGACGTTTGATAGAATGATAACCAACTCTCCGTGTCAGTTGAGGATAAAATAACATGAATAGTTAAATTAATTCCCACATTCATTCACACTACCCCAGAGTACTCGTTATTCATCGGGGTATTTGGAGTTAACTCTTCATTCACACTAATAAATTTCATTTTACACATTCATTCACACTACCCAGAGTTCTGGATATTCCTCGGGGTAATGAATAAGCTCCTCAATTCACGCTAATAAATTACGTCACGAGGTCACGATAGCTCAGGTGGTAGAGCAGCGGCGTATCTAGCCGAAGGTCGTGGGTTCGAATCCCTCTCGTGCCATTAACTTTTTTCATCTCAACTAAAAACTTTAATTAATTGTAAACTAATAAATTACATTCACACACCAGATTCGTTCACACTACTGCAGAGAATTCGATTTCCTCGGTGAAATTTTAGTTGAGATAAAAAGTCAGTGTCACGAGCGGGATTCGAACCCACAGCGTTCGAAGACGAAGGTCGTGGGTTCGAATCCCGCTCGTGACACTGACTTTTTTATCTCAACTAAAAACCTTAATTAATTGAAAGCTAATAAATTACATTCACCCATTCATTCACACTACCCTAGAGTACTCGTAATTCCTCGGGGTTAACTTCATTTTCACTAATAAATTTCATTTCATACATTCATTCTCACAACCCAAAAGTACTAGTTATTCCACAGGAGATAAGACTCTTCGTTCCCACTAATAAGTTTCATTTTAAACTACCCAGAGTACTGGATATTCCTCGGGGTAATAGATCAGCGCCTCCATCCACGCTAATAAATTACAGTCATACACCAGATTCGATCACAGTACTCCAGAGAACTCGATATCCCTCGGGGTAATTGAGGATAGGCCCTTTCTCTCACGCTAATAAATTACATTCACCCATTCATTCACACTAACACAGTAATACACCATCTTGTTCTAAATCAAGCCAATATAAATGGACATTTGTCAAATTTACAGCAATATGTTTATTTTATTAATTCTACTAGAAAATAATGTTGAATCGTACTTGGAAAATTGAAACACAGGTTTTTCACGTTCTTTACTTATTTGTACGTGTCGAACCTATAAAAAAAATCCTTTTGGCTCTAACCGTGCACCTTCATCAACTTTAGACATCAATAGGCCTGCCGTCAATTTATTGTAAATTACAAAAGCTGGAATTGCCGGTGGACCGCGAGCAATGATAGGCTCAACTCTGTACATTCATGTATATATGTATATACATATCCAGATTTTAGCTTATATAAATCGAAATCTAAAATCTAAAATAGAAGTGTTTTTTTAACATAATAATTTCCCGCCGGAATTTACCGGTTTTAACTTATAAAAAAAATCATGAGATGTTTTGTTCTTATTGCTTAAAGGATAAGTTGCCTTTTGCTTTGTGTTATATTTTACTTTTTATAATTCATATTATGTATCTACATAAGGTTTACAAAAAGTACTATATACTTGGGATGAATTACTTTTCATTCCGTATAAATCATTGCTAGGCTAACCAGGTAGATTTGAATTATTGAATAGATCAAAAGAAAATTGGCCCCCTACCCCCGTAACATTACATCCAATTAATTAATCTTTAAGTAGGGTATTGGTTGAGATAAAAAAGTCAGTGTCACGAGCGGGATTCGAACCCACGATCTTCGGCTAAATACGCCTCTCCTCTACCACTTTAGCTATCGCGACTTCGATCCACTCGGACACCAACTTACCATCTCAACCCACCTTTTGAATTTTCACTCCTTTTTGCCATTTTACAATTTTTTGATCTCAATCAATACCTTACTTAAAGATTAATTAATTGAAAAAAGTTAATTGGTCAATCAGACCACGAACTCTAATGGAGTACATACATTATTATTTATACAGGCTGTATTACATAGAATTTAAAGTTCAATTTTGATTTCAGCACAGGGAAAAGGGGCGCATGCGATTTCACGCCCTTCAGAACGTCGAGCTTGTCCTCAATTTTCTAAGATACAAAAAGGTAAGTTTTAATTATTATATTATGGCTAACATGCTCAGAACATAAAGCCATTAAAAAAATTATTATATTTTTTTGTTTTTTAATTTAATTTAATTTTATTTTGTATTTTTTTAAAGATAAAATTAGTCAACATCCGTCCAGAAGACATCGTAGATGGTAACCCAAAACTGACCTTAGGCCTGATTTGGACCATCATCCTTCATTTCCAGGTATGTGCATGTCTTGATCATATCACTATAAAAAGGTCATAAAGTGTGGAAATGGTGGAAGACGAGGGCATCGAACCAGAAGTCGAAGAAGTAGAAAATCAGTTGGGAAAATTATACGGCGAAGAAGCCCGTATGGACCGACTGGAATGGAAGAACCGGCTTTTAAATAAAAATATCCAATTGAAATGACAAAATAGGCTAACGAACCTCCGAACCTCTGGCACTGGGCCGGTCCAAAAACGGAAATCGGGCCCAGGGGAAAACAACGTCATTCAGGTTTTCACTTTCATTGTCGGATAGGATACAGGTGTGCCCTCCGTCACACCTGAAAGGCATCGGGGGCGGGGGGGCGGTCTGGTGGGGATCCGGGACCCCTTACATCACATAACAACCAGTCTCCTTTTAACTCTCGTCCGAGATCGGGCAGATGATTTTTTTTACATTTTTCCCGGCAGAATAAAGGGTTTTCGAGTCGGCAATTAAAGCGGGCCAGTTGGATTTCATCGAGGCAAGTCTGTTGAAAATTTATACTAAAACCTAAACCCAGAAGTAACACTCGAAAAGCTCGGAACCCTCCGCCCTCGACCCCACGTCAACAGGTGGTTTGACATCTACTCGGCCCATTTTTGAAGTCCTCGGGAGATTTTTTCGACTTTCAGTGTTGTTTTCGCGATCCCGATTCTTCCAGTTGGTGCCGGGTGACGGACGTCCTTGGGAGTTCGGTCCTCCGGATGTGCCGACTGTTTTCTCGCTTTTCCTGAACCCGTTCCACATAAAAATCTGCTCTGATCAAAAACAAGCCTAAAACGCACATGTTAAAATAAAGGAAATTTTGCCTAATATCCACACAATAATCCAACTTAAAATTCACACGAAAGACTTTAAATTTCCCTTAGAACTATTAACTGAAGACTTTCAATGTATAGCTGGAGACTAACGACAAAAAATGTCATTGCCTTCTGCTTTAATCATAACGCAAAAATTGAAGTCTGCTACCATAGCCAGCCAGTCGGTACAACCTTGGGTTAAACTTTACAATTCACTAGTAAAACTTAATTTTCCCTTAAAGCCAAAAAGATTGGAAAACATTCTGTCAACAACACGGGATAATAACAAAAAACAGCTTTACTCTCTGCTTTAGCCAAAATAATTCGATCAGTTTGACCATACAGTAAACAAATCACTAAAAACGCTGAAATAACATAATATTCATTCTACAACGCCAGGCACCGACGAAAAATTGAATCGTTTAAACCATGCATACCAGATTTTATCAAAATCGACCTAATAATGTAAAAATTACGTAGTGTTAAACATTAAAAACACTATTCCATCTGCCAGGTTGATTATGTGAATATGCCGAAACAAGCAACATTTATAATAATGCAATAACTACTGATAAACAACAAATAAACAATGAGCTTTTAATAGAGTTAATATTTTCCACTACCCTTACATCTTAAGGGATTATTCGACCGACTAAGCTGTAGACTAACGAAAAAATAGCCTTTTTCTTTAATCGAGTTGTGAAACATTTCCTCATTTTGCCCATTAAGCTCCTGTTCCTGTGACGGTTTTTTTTCCCCTTTCAAATATTTTTACATATCCAGTCGTAAATTCAAAGTTTCACCTTGAATTCAAATCCTCCGTAGACATTGGCTTTGTTAAAATTGTTCATAAGATATTCATAACTGAAACTAAATCGGCAGCTTTTTTGGCCGTGAGGGCACCCTGCTGGAAAAAAGCTATTGTTAGTAAAACCTTCATAAATCTCGTAATCCATTGCAGCATACTACTGGCATAAATTGATGAAGAATATTTCACCTAACCTTACTTTTTACACCAGTAAACCGAAGTTTTAGGATTATCAACGATAATTAATTGAATATACAGGTAAAATTGATTTATTTGTAGCTTTGAGGCATACAAGATAAATTCATTTCCCATGAAAATTCAATTAGAAAATTTTCCATTTTAATATATAGTCAACTAGGTAATAGGCTAACTTATTTCTTCTTACCCTTAGGATCGTGAAATGAGTAAAGCCATAATTTGGCCATTTATTAAATATAAAATCGATTTACAATTCCAGATGGTATTTCTGGAAAACCTTGGCATAAAATCCTTAAAGGTTTCTTGATTGTTCATTGTTCCCTTATCAGGTTTCAATGGAAAATAGAAAAATTAAGTTATTAATGTTCTATGTCCATACGAAACACTTAAAGTAGTAGTAGTAGTAGGACCCCTTTCGGCTGTAAACTACCGTCAATAGATTAACTCCAACAAAAAAGCCTTGAGGGTGTTTGTTTATAGATTAAAGGAGTGTACCGATTATTTGACCATGGTGCTTTAGTAAAGTTTATTTTTGATATATCGTCGTGCTTTTTTTATTGTTTCCTCCGACGGCTCTTTTGACCTTTTTTTCTCAACAAAGAGTTTGGCTTGTTAAATAATTTCTATATCACGCCTTTTGACCTTTGCTTTTAAAGGTTTGACTTTTCACCTTGAATTTCTTTATTGTCCGGCCCCCGAAGGATTTGGGTGAAGGACAGGAAAGCTTGCCAAGCCGCACGCAGGACTTTGCGGAAGTCGGGAAAAATGGATAAACCCCGTTTCCCATGGCCGCTTTTCCACATTGTCCGTCTTTTTCAGCTTTTGCTAATTGCAAATCGGTCCGATCCCATCGGAAGACGCCCACGGTAACCCACGCTCTGGGATTGACAGATGGTGAAAGTTTATTTTTTACCATTGCGTCATTTTGTTCTCCTGCGACCTTAAACGGGCTTTTAACCGGTCACCGTCCCATCTTTGGCTGTGATAACCTTGTTTGTGATCCAATTCTCCTCGCGTTTTACCCACCGAGATGTTTCGTGGGCGTAAGCTTAAAACTCCCTTTAATTATTGTTAATTAATCCTAAATGCCTTGCGTGAAGAAAACGTTTATCATTACCTCGACTTAATTTCACGTATCATTTGATGCGTAGGCGTCTTAAAATCCGAAAACAAAGCCTTTTCCATGACAGTTATCTATACTGGAATACCTTTGTATTATAATTTGAGCCATGTTGCAATTTCCTTTTTCGTAAATTACTGTTAATAGTCGGACGGGACTTCGTATTATGTCCTACCTTTAATGACCCCTCCGTTCCGTGCAGTCGTGAAATGTCTTGTGCGGATTCACAACTTTCGATTTCCCTATCTGCCCTATCTACCCTGAAACTACCGACCAGACTTCCTACGTAGAAAGTATTCATCGTCCGATACCCACGTCGGGTCTGGGAAGGGTGTTCGAGCTTTTCTTGTGACAGGATTCCGTTAGTAACAAGTCCTCTGCGCCCAGGGATGGACCGGAGGCTGTACAGTTTCGACCGGAACGGCCGGCTCGGTGTGTACGGGTCGAACGATACGCGGGCTGCACCCACGACGACCGCCGCGTCCCAGGTGACCAAGTCCGTGACGAGCCGCAGGATAAGGACCGAAGTACATCTGCAGTCTTCAGGAGGACGGAAAGTCACGAGATCTAGGCAACAGGTACCCGATTCCAGATGAACAGTTTCAAACTATACATCTGACATTTTGTATTGTGGTCGTTTTGGGTCCGCCTACCCTCACCGTTTTTATTTATCATGGTTAAACCATTGTCAAACTCACTCTATTATATTAATCGTATAAATAGTTTATCGACATAATGGTCCCTTACTTTTTCACACTGAGGAGTTAATTATTAATTCAGAAAGTGGGTTTGTTTTTCAAAAATGGTAACTATTCTTATTTAATTGTTAAATATATATTCTTGATTTTACATTATTAAAAAATATAAACGCATAATCTTGGTCCGCTTATCCTCGCTGTTTTTGGTTTCGCGCACCTGACTCCTTCAGACGAACACCTACTAACTCATATTGTTTTTTTTTTCTTGTTTTTTTTTCTTGTTTTTTTTCTTGTTTTTCAGATTTTATATAAAATCTTACTTAAGGATCATATTAGTTCATAAATCATATAAATTTTGACAGGTTGAGTCACCATTAGTTAAGATGTGTAGTTCTTGGGTTTTGTCCATATTTTTCTAAAATTATGAAATGTTAGTTACGCCCCTTTTTTTATTTCATTGTTACATAGATAATAGTGTTTAATTTACAGATTGTGTATTTTCTTTTTGATTTCTTTATGGTGTTAACAATCCTTTTTTGATCTAGTAAAATATGATTTTTTGTTCCTTTTTCCATACCGAATATTATATGTTCAATTGTTAATTCCATGCTTCAAGCCTAATCAAAATATGCAGCTTAAGTCTTGGTTTAACATCATAAAAAATAAACGTTCAGTTCAATTTTTTATGTAAGTACCAGAATACAAATTGATCCTTAAACTTTTTCAATTTTCATTTATGTTAAGTTAGCATTGATTTAGGAAGTACTCGACAATATTTTTAGTCAGTTTATAAAATTGAAAAACAAATCCAGAGTCTTTGTCTTTATTCTGGAAAATTTTTAAACATTTAACTTTTAAAGTAATGTATGTATTGCACAGAAAAATGCACAGTATGGAGCCGTTTTTTAAGAAAATTCCACAGACTTTATTGTAAAAAAAGTACAATTTTGATTTATTTAGGGAAAAACAATCATATTTGGTCTAGTATAAAAACTTTAAATAAACTTGATTTATTGTTTGGTCCTATTAAGCAAAGTAACTGATTTATTAATACAAAGTGCGGTTGAGTTGAAAAATTATATGTAGAAGTACCGGTGAAGGTCGTGGGTTCGAGTCCCGCTCGTGACACTAATTTTTCACTGGTTTATTGTTGTTTATTACTTGTCAATTATATGTTCACACCGAAACTTACTTTTGGACCAATGTGTCCCGCCTAATTGACGGATGCCCATACAAGACTTCCTTGGCTCCATATAGAGATCGTGTAGGAATGCCACCCGAAATGAGAATGTGCTAGAGCTTTTGGGAGTTTCTTAGTCTCCTGATGCGATTTTTGGCTTATGGCGGAA